AACCTGGAGTGGTTATATTGACTTCAGACTAATCAGGCAGGAATACCTCAAGAAAACTTAAAAGGAAACAATTCAGGAATCAAGTGATGATAAAGCTGTCAGCTCCCAATCCTTAATGTATATTCCTCATACACACAGCATCAACATTACATGAGGCAAGAACTAGTAGGAAAAAAAGGGAAATTATTAGTCTATGTTGTTAATCCTCCACCACACAGCACACACATTCATTTTAAAATCATATGGAATACTCATAAATACTATATCCTAAGTTACAAAGCATACTTTAACAAATGGGAAGGAAGAACAACATATGAAACCCTCTGCTGCTGTGTTAGAATTTAAATAGAACATATGGAAAGCTCCATGCATCCAAAGGTTAACCCACAAACATCTACACAATACAAGCTAAAAATAAGCCTCTAAAGAAATTAAATATTTAAAAGCACATAAAATAAAATGCATCATCTTAACCAAATTTGTGGGATGCAGGAAAGGCAGTACATGGATGAATCCTAATCTAACGCATCAGTGTGAGAAGAAGAAAAGGATCTAAATGCAATGAACTAATTCTCCACTTCTGAAAACCCAAAGAAGAGTAAGACAATGCCAAATTGAGGGGAAAGAAACAAGGGTTAGTAAAGACATTGGTAATACAGAGAAGAAACCAAGAGGACATTACTGAAACTAAATCCCAGTTCTCTTAAAAGATCAACAAAATTGATAAAAACTCGGGCAAAAAAAGTAAAGGAGCAGAGAACACACAAACTATGATCCATTATACAACATGGAAATTATAGTTACTACCATTGTAGAAATGAAAGCCTGACTTTAGACACTACTCGCATGGACATTAAAAAGATAAGAAATAAATGTTATGAAGAATTTTATGCCCATAAATTTAACAAACTAGATGAAATGCACCAATTTGTGACAAGAAACTATCTACTTAAAGTTGCAACAGCTGAGACCGTACAAACTGGTGTATGTATTAAAGACATTAAAACAATAAGAAATAATTACCCAAAACAAAAATGGGCAGGACCACAAGAATGGAATGATTTAGTCTGGCTAAATATGAAAGAAATCACACCAGTTGTCTGCAGTGTCTTTCAGGAAAGTTAAAGCTTCATGCTATGAAGCAAAACTATAATAATACCAAAACTAAATAGAGGTCACACAAGCTAAAATATGGTAGATTAAGCCCTCTTCTGAACACAGACACACAAATCTTTCACAAACAATGCTAACTCCTACCTAACAACATATAACTACAAAGTAGGACCAAGTAAAAACTATGGAAGTATTGGGAAAGGTATTTAATGTAATCCATGACCTCAACAAGCTAAAGAACACAATTCCTAAGATCATTAACAATAGATGCAGAATGACATGAAATTAATGCAAAAGTATTGATTAGAATGACAAGCAAGAAATAAAGTTGTTTTTGGCAACAGATATGTCATTGGGTAGGAGATCCCAAAGAACCAACAAGAAAGCCTGGTAACCAAGTTTGTTCAATATGCAGTCAATGTACAAAAGTACATCATTTTGCTACATGGCAATGAAGACATGGATTTGCAATAAAAGCATACCAGTTACATGGCATCAGGAAAAAAAAAAAAAAAAAAAAAAACAGAAAGCCAAACAAACCAAACTGGACCAAAACAAAACTGGAAAAAACTTCACAGAAAATAAGAAAGCCCTTCTAGAAATAATGCTCTTCACCAGTGGTCCCTGATATGAAGCAGCACATACTGACTCAGAGATGCTGAGAAACACCAAAGCTCAGAGTATCCCACAAGTTGATAAACCACACCATAAATGAACACTCTCATAGGAAAAGTAATAGCAAATTAGAAGGTAATACACATCAGTGACTCATACTATGCAAAAATTAATATGGCTGATACATGAGTCTGAGGCCAGCCTGGGCTACAAAGTGAGGTCATGGCCATACTGAAGTACACAGCAAGACACTGGCTCAAAAACAAAGCAAAACAAATTTGAAAAAGAAAGAA